TTCCCTGTTCTTCCAGTTGTCTATGGAATCACTACAGGTTTTGGCAAATTTGCCCGAACGATCATTCCTGTCAGCAAGCTCAAGTAAAGACAAGTTTTAAATTACATTTTTTTCTAATCTGAAGATCTTCTGCCAAGAGACTGAGATCTTGATTGACAGACTTGTCTTTTTTTAATTCTGCAGGGAGCTGCAGGAGAACTTGGTGCGGTCGCACTCAGCAGGTACTAAAACTCTCCATAAAGACCGTTTACTAGATTTTTAAAATGTCCAGGCATTCAGGGAACCTGACAAAGCCCCTTACGTGTCACGGTATTTAGATTAACATCAATGTTATACTGCCGTGTGTAGGTGTGGGAAACCCGCTAAGCCCAGAGAGGACCCGCATGTTGCTTGCTCTGAGGATAAATGTTCTGGCCAAAGGATACAGCGGAATTTCTTTGGAAACCCTTAATGCCATGATCAAAGCCTTTAATGGTGAGTTTCACCTGGACTCACCAGCCTCATTTAGCCTTAGCAAATATGAGTTATCAGCTTCAGTAGACTGAGATACCACATCCTTTAAGGATTAGCATCGGAGAAGCTGACTGTCATATAACTAATCTTCATCTCTAACTCACTTTGTCCCTGCAGCTTCCTGCCTCTCCTTTGTCCCAGAGAAGGGAACAGTGGGTGCTAGTGGAGACCTGGCACCCCTCTCTCACCTGGCCCTGGGGCTGATGGGAGAGGGAAAAATGTGGTCTCCCAAGAGCGGATGGGCAGATGCCAAATATGTAATACTGTATAGTTAGAATAGTCCTTTCTGTGCTTGCAAAACAATAACTCGCTTAATGCTGCAGGAAATGTGCCTTTTGCTTGTAAGAGTAAAAGGTGGCAGGGACCAACAGGAAAAGTTGCTTGCTTTTTGGTGATGCTTGACCTCTTACATGTTTATGTTCTTCTTTCATTTATGGCCAGGTCCTGGAGGCCCATGGACTGAAGCCAATATCACTAAAACCTAAAGAGGTAATGTTTAAACCAACCATGCTCTGATATTTGATTTGCCTGAACTAAAGACACTACCTGCGGGTTAAGTGGGAACACGCTGTGTTGTCTCTCTCAGGTAAAGGAGAAGAATCACAGTGTAATATACACTTGATCAGACTGATTGATGTAACATGTGACATACATACATGTTACATTAGCCAGTAGCGGCAGAAGAAATCAGCTGCTTTATTAAAAGTAACAATACAGGGTGTAAAAATATTTCTCCATCCAAACCATTACTTGAAGTACCTAACCACTGTTTGAAAACTTACATGTACATACTATTGTATTAACCGATGAGATATTCTGCATGCAAAGTAGTAACTACTGCAGCTCTCAAATAAATGTAGTAGAGTAAAAAGTACATTATCTTCCTCTGAAATATAGTGGCATGGAAGTATAAAGCTGCTTAAGATTTAAATACTTTGTAAACTTCAAGGATCCCAAAATTTTACTTTAATACAATACATCCCACCACTGTCAATCATCAGTCGGCTTTAGGAACAGCTCACACCCTGTCTTTCCTTCACAGGGCATTGCTCTGATCAACGGGACCCAGATGATTACCTCTCTGGGGGCAGAGGCTGTAGAGCGCGCCCAGGCTATCGCCAGGCAGGCAGACATCATTGCTGCTCTGACGCTGGAGGTGTTGAAGGGAACCACCAAGGCCTTTGACAGTGGTGAGTAGTGGCAGTGGTGGACAACACAATCACAAAAGATGGAATTATTTACCTTCTGCATCTTGCCTAGCGTCTCTCATTTTCTGGTCTCCTCCCATATAGACATCCATTTGCTGCGACCTCACCCAGGACAGGTAGAGGTGGCCCAACGCTTCCGCTCACTGCTGGACTCTGATCACCATCCATCCCAGATAGCAGGTCACAGGACAAACCTAGATTCTGAAACAGACAAGTAATGATACAAAGCTAAGGTTTACCAGGGCCACATTTTGTGGAGTTTGTATATTATTTCTTATGTTTGTGGGTATGTTCTCCTGTTCAAAACACATACATCTAGTGGGGACTATTGCAGAGGGATTTATAAGGTATAGCTTTTTGGTAATATAATGCCCGTATTGTACCCCTAAACACCTAGTCCTTATTTTGGTGTTGGTGTGTTTTTCCCAGAGAGCCATCGCTTCTGTGACAGAGTCCAGGATGCCTATACCATGCGATGCTGTCCTCAGGTAACCTCATGTAAAGTTTATTTGTGTATCCCCAAATCACAAGTTTATCCCAGAGGGCTTTGCAATCTCTACACCATCTATACATAGATTCTCACTTTGGAAAAGGGAAAAAAACCCCTCGGTGGTGGATTCTTATGTTGTACATATAAAACCCACAGAAATGATAGTCCTGAAGCCAAACATTATGATTTTTCTAACTGGGCTAAGACAGTATTGTGAGCACTGTTCAGTTGTTCCTGAGCATAACCTTCTCTTTCTGCAGGTTCATGGCATCGCCAATGACACAATAAAATTTGTCCAGGACATTATCAATACAGAAATTAACAGTGCCACTGACAACCCTGTATCCTTACTTGACTTGCCAGCTAAGGGAGGAGTCTCTAATATCATAAATTCTCCATTCTACCGCAAACTTTGTGTTGGATTTGATTGGAAATCAGAGGTGACTTATTTTTCTTAATGGCTACACAAGATGGTGTTTGCAGAAAGAGGTGAGACCATTTCAGGTGGAAATTTCCATGGAGAATACCCATCTAAGGTATACACATCACCTCAGTGTAAGTTACCTATGACTCATACAGTAACATTTCTTTTTTTGGTATTTGATCACAATTATCTTGTTCCCTCCCACAGGCTTTGGACTTTTTAGCCATTGCAGTCCATGAGCTGGCCTCTATCAGTGAGAGGAGGATTGAGAGGTTGTGTAACCCCTCTCTGAGTGAGCTGCCTCCCTTCCTCGTCAGCGAGGGAGGACTCAACTCAGGCTTCATGATTGCCCACTGTACTGCTGCTGCTCTGGGTTGGTGTGCAAAAAAGTAAAATGGAGCATGAGCATTATGTTACTACTTTGTTCATGTCAAATAAAATAGATTTTTGTTGGCAAATAACATTGAATATGAATTCCTCCTAGAATATTTTTAACATGTATTATCATTATATTCATGTTTTTACTACATGCTTTAGCATGAACCTTTCTGTATTATGTTTAGTTTCAGAGAATAAGGTTTTGTGTCATCCAGCTTCTGTGGACTCCTTGTCCACCAGTGCTGCCACAGAGGACCATGTGTCTATGGGAGGCTGGGCTGCTAGAAAGACCCTGAGGGTCATCGAGCACGTGGAGCAAGGTTAGATTTCTCCCTCCTTAGTGTATGTGTTATTATTGCTTTGCTAATACAATTCTCATTAGAGTAACTGTTTAATCTTGAGGAACAAATATGAGAATAAAAATGGTAACACGATGATCCAGGTATTACATTAACAAACTACAATATAATCAACTATTTCAATGGTTTCCTAATGTAGGTATTGCAGACATGTGGTGAATCCCAAATACTTGAGCTGCTACATACTATAAGCTCTAACGGCTTTCAGAATGATCTGGAAACCAAACCAATGTTAGTCCCGCACACTATCTAGTATGCAGTGTTGACTACAGCACTGTGAGCTTAATGTCATGCAACATAACAGTAGTAGTGACATCCAGGGTTGTGCAACATTTAATTGTGACACTAAAAAGAGGATCCATTTAAATGAGAACAATTAAATATGGTGCTACTGAAAATAAACACAGACAGTAAATTTATCAGCAATATTAAGCATTTTGCTTAATCTAAATTATTTTTTTCTGTGCTTAGTTCTTGCTATAGAGCTGCTGGCAGCCTGTCAGGGCATTGAGTTCCTCCGCCCACTTTGTACCACCACTCCATTGGAAAAGGTCTATGACCTCGTACGCAGTGTGGTCAAGTAAGTCAAACAGATGTGGCCAAGGTACACAACTTTCAGTCTACTGAAATGGTGTACCAGATAGTTAATATTTATCCTCAATTCCACGTCTGACTTTGACCTTTCTACTCTTCTGCCTTTAACAGACCATGGATTAAAGACAGATTCATGTCTCCAGACATTGAAGCTGTTCAGCTTCTTCTACTTGAGCAGAAGGCAAGTGCTGACTCTAATGGTGTGCCTATAAAATGTGTTCACCATGTATGTAAGCTCCACTGGAAAGTAAAGTGGAAGGATTTCTTCTTTTCCTCGTTTATATGTTCAACTCAGGTGTGGAATGTGGCCAAGCCTTACATTGACAAGTATCAGTCAGAGTACATCCCCGAGTCCCGTCCTGTCTCTCCTACCGCCTTCTCCTTGGAGCCCCCAGCATCACCGAGGAAGCGTGTTCGCCATGAGTGAATGCATGTCCAAAATGTTTTGTTTTTCTCTTTGCAATAATTAAAAACTTCATGTGTTGATACATTTGTGAATATGAACGAAAACTAGGGATGGTACGTGCATGATATGAAGTGTATGATTCAATTCAATCCCGATACAATGACAACAATGTACAACTAGCTGCAGAACACATACTTTATTTCTTTTGTAGCACTGGTTTGATTATGTAAAGACCAACCAGATATATTGACTGATGTTTTGTTAGGCTATTTACAAAAATTTATGCAGTTGCTGGTGTACGGAGACCACATGATATAGGTGTCGCTAGACAAAATGACACATATTGTGACATTTTTGTATCATGATATATTAAATTTCAATATATTGTACAATCCCTAATGAAAACCAGCCAAAACCTTGAAGACTAAAGATAAAAAATCCAATGATATAGTGTTGTTTTAGCTAAATTCAAACTGTGATTTTGGAGATGAAAGTTTTTAATCCTCAAAGATATCTATATGTGTGTATACACACACACACACACACACACACACACACACACACGCCCAGTGGCCTCTTTATTAGTTTCACCTGTAAAATATAATGCAATCCAAGTCAGCTCAGCCATGAATTCTAAATGATAACAGTAATCAGTTTTGTTTGACACTGTCAGGTGGTATTAATTTAACTAAGTTTATTATTGTTGTAGTTTGCAGTGATGCTGAACTGGACTTGCACTGATGTGTTTCTATTTTTCCAGCCCATTTAAAAACATGAGGGGGAAGCATATTGCAAACACATCAATACAAGGTTGTCCAATAGAACACCAACACTAACTTCAGTAACAAACATCCAGTTTCACGTAACACCTCTTGGAATTTAACAAGAACTGGCTATTACAAGCTTTGTAACAGTAGAATATGTGGCAGAGCTGTTATAGTGGGCTCTTTAGATTGCATAGAGTGGGTGTACCTGGAGAGTACATTTCTTTACTAATTACTGGTGTTGAACCCTCACCACTGTGCATTAGAGTTATATTTATCTAGACTATTGTTGTCCCTTTGAAATGTACTGGAGTTTTTATTGCCACATTAATAACTCAGTTGTTGCACCATTTCCATATGAAATCTTTGATGATGCAGCACAAACATAACTTTGATTACATGTTTTTTTCTAGTGTAATTATACATTTCCAACTTAGACAGCTCAACATTAAAAGCCTTAAAAATTGCATTCTTTAATCATTTGCGTAATGATGTGATCACCGCTCTTGACTCACTATTCCCACTATTAATTCTGTACCTTTTACATCCTGATACACTAATGTATTTCTGGTGTTAAGTGCTGCAAGTATTCACAGTATTGCAGTAGTAGTAATACCCGCTGCAATAGTAGTAGTGATATGACCTCCTAGTCTCACTGTTGTACCATTAAGATGTCATATATTATTAAAGGACTGAATGAAGATAGAAGAGCTGAGGCTTACAGGAGCTCTTCTATAGAGAGAATAAGGTCAAGCCCAAGACTGTAAATCATAACAGCATCTTACTCTATAACACAAAGATAGTCAGTTCACTATATGACAGAAAAAAGATTACATTTTCACAACTGAGATGCTATGACCAACAAACATTTATATGAAAAATTAGTATGATTTTAAATTTATCAAAATGGTTCCAGTTCAATGTTTTGTTAATTCAGAGAAGTTACTGATCACTTCAGCTCTAATTATCAGTGATGTAGAGTTCAAGTAAAAGATACATTCACACGCAGATTAACAGCCCTAGAACTGCCCTATTTGTTTAGCAAGAGATGAGCAAACTGTCTTGACTATAAAAGCTAAACAACTGTCTGTCTGTGAAATATTAAAATACATTGGGTGTTTTCTTTGGTTTGCAGCCACACTGCTTTTGTTCTTTGTGTGTGTTCAACATTAGGGAAGGGGGTTTAACAGAAGCTTCCTAGTATAATTAAACAGTGCCTGCCTGTCCAGGCTGAGACGCCACTGTGCCATCTGGAGGTACTGTCCGTAAAAACCTGAGGAAGATAAAGCATCACAGTCACAGACCTGCAGACCTTTGGTCAACAAATTCAAAGGTTAGACAAACAGATAGAAGAAAAAGGGACAAGTCTGTTGTATGTCATTTGATGGGACCACAAACTGTGTTGTTGCTGCAATCTCAACCTGTTCCAAACATAACTTCAACTGCTAAATTTATTTTTCTGTAGTGACTTGTGAACACTTTTCATTGCGTGAAACACAACAGTCCAGTAGAGTACTTCCATAGAGAGGAACCTCTGTAACAGAAGACACCAGGGACAAACATTTTCTAGCTCAACTTTCTACCATAGGTTCATGTTCTCAGTGTTTAGCAAACATTTATGAACTTCAATGTACAGTACTGTGCAAAAGTTTTAATTTATTTCCATCATGCAATACCATCAGAGAGGTGTCTGAGCGGTCTCAAATTCCTTCTACAGCATGATAGCAACCCCAAACATGTAGCCAGAGTGATAAAAACTACCTTGAATCCTGCAACAAATGGTCTTGCTCGCACAGAGGTCTTAGCCTCACCATCATGGAGTCCATCTGGGATTACATAGACAGAAGACACAGAACTGTGGCAAGCTCTCCATAATGCTTGGGACAAACTACCAGCCAAGTAGCTTGAAAAACTGTGTGCTAGTTTAGCTATTGGAGAACTAGGCCTGTTTTAGCTGCAAAAGGTGGTCATTATTTTTAGCCACGTTACTTTTGGTGCCTAAATCATTTGCACAATACTGTTGTACGTTTCATTACATTCACCCTACTCAAAACCCATAACCTTATGTAAATTTGGTGTCTGGAAGCATAATTTATTAATACAATCCAATAAACAACTTTAATTTAGTAAGAAAAACTACTTTTAATTGTTACATTTATGGAATTACAAACATCCAGGTTCAATTTAAAACACAGCCCAGTGTTGTCATCAGCTTATGGGTACTCACAAATAAATAAATAAATAAATGACCACAACTAAATCAATGTCATTGCATGAACAACAAATCCAATTAGATGGCGCTACGGAGCTGTTGCTGCAACGACTTTAAACAAAGAAAAAAAAAAAGGGTCTCCTTCGAGCCGGATTCGAACCAGCGACCTAAGGATGTCAGCAGTAATACCTCTACAGTCCTCCGCTCTACCAACTGAGCTATCGAAGGGACACTGAACATAACTTTCGAGCTTTTGTATATAAAGCGTAAAAGTTATATTTCTATTCTGTCTTTATAGATGTATAATAATTGTATACCAACTAACCAGCTATATCGCCAAAGTCCTGTAGCACGCTATCTAAGCGCTAATGTTTGATGCCTAGCTAAGCTAGCTAAGTTCTGTAACGTTAATTTATTAGCTTCCAGTGATGTTAGAGTGAATACAAACGTTAGCATCATATGAAATGTTTTAGCTTAAATAAAGACACTTAGCTTTTGGTTGGTTTTTAAACAAAACCCAAAAAATAGCGTTAGGTACTTTTGAAAAGAAGCCACGTGTTATGAAAGTGAAAGCTATCGCGACGTGTTCGATGCGACTGCGACCCCGACACCTGACTGCAAGCTAACGTTAGTTTCTCTCAAAGTAAAAAAAAAATGCGCACGCCGCTTTGCAATAAAACGTTTGATATTTTTAAAGAGAAAAGTTTGTTTTAACATGCTTAGCTAAACAGCACACTTATGACGCATCCCAATTTCCCATGTCACCTACTTGTTGCTGGCACAATATAAACAAAATCTCAACTTGAGAAGTTTCGGATAAGTACACGTCAAGAGCACGCCTGAAATGTAAACAGCTAATCCTGACTCTGGTCGCTGCAGCCAGTCCTAGCTGACACTGGGCGATAGGCGAGTTACACCCTGGACAGGTCGCCAGTGTATCACAGGACTGATAATTAGAGACAAACAACTACACTCGCTCATACGGGCAATTTAGAGTCACCAATAAACCTAAGCTGCATGCATTTGGACTGTGGGAGGAAGCGGGGCTACCTGGAGAGAACCCACACAGGCAAACTCCACACAGACAGGCACTGGGTCGGCCGAGGCTCGAACCCGTGACCTTCTTGCTTTCAGATGACAGCCTAGCCTAGGTCAGGATCAGTGGTTCTCAAACATTTTTTGTCATTCCCCACTTAAGAAGTTGGGCGAATTTTCAAGCCCTACTTGTCAAAAAATTATAACGAAATTGGCCAATTTTAAAAATTCAAATTGATTGAAATATCAAATAACACTAAGTTGAAAACGGGTAAAATATAAGTACAACTGTATCATTTGACAGAGGGATAGTTTTCAATTTTTCAGCACTTGTTTCATCCAGCATAATCGACACCATGTCTACTGTTACAGGGAGAATTCGCTGCTCAGCAATTGACTGGGGTGTGTTGTCTCTAAATGTCTTCTTAATTTGTTGGGTCTCATGCTGTCTGCTGCCAGCGGCTTAAGACACAAGACACTCTGCCCCCACCATTCCCACCGTGAATCCAAGAGCAGGATAGGGTCCATCATATTTTATTTTCACCTTTGGTTGATAAGGCTACTGCCTGTTGTTTCTTTGTCTGCTTGCGCTGAATCGCCTGCTTTTTTTGTGGTCCATGTAACAAATTTATCTATTTACATTATTATGCCCACTACCGATAGTCGAACCTCGGTCCGAGTGGACCATATTCTCCACCTCCATTGCCGATGCAGCTGTCCGGAGCTGTGGCCGTAAGGTCTCTGGTGCCTGTCGTGGTGGCAACCCCCGAACCCGGTGGCGGACACCAGAAGTAAGGGATGCTGTCAAGCTGAAGAAGGAGTCATTTTGAGCCTGGTTTGCTTGTGGGACACCTGAGGCCGCGGAC